GTACGTAACATAACATCAAACCAACTTGTGAGTGACGGAAAGCCATAAAATTGAAGTACAAAATACTCGCTCGCCATGTCATAATTGTCCTTAGGTTTCCAAGCAGTATACATAACACATGACTGGCGAGCGATGACGTAACGTGCTGACTGCGCGTTCTGGTATGAGCCAACTACATAAGCACGGCTAGGGAGTATCATCGCACTCAAGGACAAACATAGATAAGGGCTCTCAGCTGAGAGGTACAGCGAGGTACAGTGCTTGGACCTGCCAGAAGACCACACTTTTCTTGGGCCATTATCTCCGTAACCGTTCAACTTTGGACATAGGTGTTTTGGGTTATATCGGCATACTTTAACATAAGGAACACCCTCCCGAAGTTTGGCACATTCCTCCTGGGACCTCTGTATATATCTTACATGCTCTCACTAGGTTAATGGCAGATTTTTTTTTGTTTTTGTGTTCACAATCTTGCAAAGGTTAGTCTCTTAGCCAAACATGTTTCTGCAACAGATGTTATGTTCAGATATGTTAATATTTTTAAAAGAAAATTTATTTTATTAATTGGAATTATTAGATCTGCTAATAACGCCTGTAACAATATATAAGATTGTTTGTTCAGATCATTATTTTTATTTATGTCATTTTGAATTTAGAATATTGTTTAATTCCCTCCAACTTTGTTATTATCTGTGTTCCTCATCTGTTCAACTGTAGTTTCCTCTTGCAGTGCTTGCCTGTAAAGGCTTCATAGCTGTTGCCAAGCAGTTTAATAAATTAGTTGAATTAATATTAAAGAGTTCTGTGTTCTGGGATATAAAGTCATATAGTCCATTGAAAGTCAACTGACATTTTGGAGGAACATGTTGCCTCCCTCTGGTTTCTTTCTTGCATGTTCTTTGATCATGAAGATGAAAGCAAAACGTTGGTTGGCTTTCAGTGGACTGTGTAGGACCCTATCTCAGAAGATGGAATTCTTCTTAACCAGCTCTGTGAGACTCTAAAATCCTACATTAATTATTATGCATTCCAGAGTATAAATGCATTTGGATGATGGACATGAGATGTATCAAATGCCAGAACAAGTATTTACAAACATTTGGTGTATATAAAAATATAATATGTCTGTTGCCTTCTGTCTTGTTTCCTGCTGCAGGTCTAATGCAAAACACAAGGAATCCTGATTCTGTGCCCTTTTTATAATTACCCGAGTGAAACACTTTCTTAATTTGAATTCTTACTCCATTTTTAAAGGCACTTTGTATTCTGAATTTTACATGAAAGCAACCATATCACATGGGAAGAGTATTTACTTCAGTTTACATACAGTATTTGTGAATGCAATATTGTTATTTAAAAACTTCCAGGTAAGGTGGATGTTCTTTGATAGCTCTAGATATTAGATGCTTCTATGAAGAATCTTAGATGAAACCATGCATATTTGAGTTTGGTGTGACATTGCTTTTTTTCTCCTTTTTAAGGTATATATTCTTGTGCTTTTTCTTAGTACTTCTTGTGGGTTATTGTGAAGTACAGAAATTTCTGTCAGATGTGCTCTCTCTCGCCCCTCCATCTCTCCCTCTTGTTACATCATTGGCATATCAGTGATTATTTCTCTATTCTAATAAAGTACTGCATGTTAATTTTCCAGGCTGGTTTGAGGTAAATATTTTTGACTGTTAAGTTTGTGTCTTAGTGCTAATTGCTGGTGGATATGCTTGGCCATATTACTATGTCTTCTGTATTATGTGGCAGCAACTAGTGATGAGCATCCTCCTATAATGTGGTCTATTCTTTCTGTGTATTTTGTATATTTGTCACTTGATTGTTTGTCCCTTAAAGTTATCTAATTCTACTTAATTACTTGACCCTGTGTACCAAGCATGTGCCCATCTGTTTCGGCATAATTGTTACCTCTGAAGGCTGCACAAGAATGAAAGCTAGTATGGGTGTTTGTTACCTGGTTATCTTTTTCTGAGCCTATATTTTGCCTAAACATAAATACCAAAATATGCAAAAATATAATGTTGTAGAATCTGAGGTTGTCACATTGGTGGATACGAAGGGTTCTACATTCTAAAATATAATTCCATATAGTCTGTTGAAAGTCAGCTGATGTTTCAGAGGAACATATGACCTCCATGTTCAGGGTTGAATAATAAGCCAGACAAGAAACCAACAAGAACCAGGTAGAGCTCTGCTTGCTACCTGCTTCATGTTGCTATCTTGTCTGAGTTATTCTTTGATCCCAGTGATTGACATGACACGTTGCTCCAAAACGTCAGATTACTTTGAACTTACTACATGGTGTTATATCTCAGAAGATATAACTCTTCAACTATAACCTTGCCTCACAATAATTGGAGGGCACAGACTGAGTGTCTTTGAGATGGGGGTGCTGAGGAGAACATTTGGATCTGAGAGGGATGAAATAATAGGAGGCTGGTGAAAATTCTGCAGAATGAGGAGCATAATAACTTTTACTCATCAAATATAAGTATGATGACGTGAAGGAGGATGAGATGGACAAGACATATAGCATGCATTGGAGAGACGTGCATATGAAGTTTTGGTTGCAAAATCTGAAGGAGAGAGAACAGTCAGAAGACCTAGGCATAAGTGGAAGGATAATATTAAAATCGATCTTCAAGGAATATAATGGGAGCATGTGTAGAGTCAGGGTAGAGACTGATGGCTGGCTCTTATAAACAATGAAATGAACTTCTGAGTTACATAAAAATGCTAGGAATGTCTTGAGTATCTCTGTGGAGTTTGTATTCTCTTCTTCCTTTGCAAAGTTTGAATCAAGGTTATATTTCTGTTATGCAGTGGAAGAGGACTGACCGTTGCTATGATCGTTTTTGTTGTTATGCCTGTGATGATAATAATAATAATAATAATAATAGTAATTTACTGGGTATGTAGTAAGGAAGTAGCAACAGTTGTTTAATCTGAAAAGTAAAGTGCATGTTCAGAACTTTGCATATACAAATGAACAGTATGTTGTTTCTAATCAAATTTTTACTTTTATTAATTAATGACATCATGAGCATGGCCAGAATTTTTCCAAGCGGGGCAGCCAGAAAATTTGCTAATGGACTTTCTTAAGCCTTGTCATATGATATGTACTGAATGCCGCACAATATGCGACATTGAAGATTAATTAAAATAATAACTTTCAAGTTTGGCATCAGTATATTGTATATTTTTGTCATTCAAATTTTCATCTTCGAAAAATCCGAAGGGTAGCGGGGGGGGGGGTTGCCTTGCTCTCTCCACGGTGCCCAGGGACATTCACAGGCACATCAAATCAGATCGGTTGTGTATACATACGTGGTGTAATAACTGGGCATAGGTTTTGGCATTTAGTCCGTTTAATTTTTTTTGGAAACTGCAATATTTTCGATCCATCATCTTGTAACCCTATAATTTTTATATCCATATTTTACGAAGTAAATGCATATATCGTACCACAGGAAGTAGTAGGACGTAAACCAGCAAAATTGTTAAAATATAATCAAATTTAGAGTGATTTAGCTTTTATCTGTTCATATGAATCGATTGTAAAGATCGATGACTGCCAGCTTCACACGGATATGACAGTCGAGATGTGTAGTTGTTACTGACGGTTGTGTAATGGCAAGTAGTTCAAATAATCATATTTTAGTCGGGACCGAGTAAGTGTCGTGTTAGGATATAATATTAATAATCATGCCTCTCGTTAATTTCGAAGATTTGTATCCGGTAATTGTGTTTTGTGTGAAGGAATTAACAGAATACAGACATAACCTGTGTGGCCTTGTATCTCATACTCTACGATATGATGTTAGGCACTGTGCTCTTCGGGTTACAGTCAATCGTGAACTGCTTCTGCATGCTGAGGTGAGTAAATTCGACTTTAAACAGATGAATGGTAGACTGTGTGGCCACACTTATTATTATTATTGTTTGTCGTTGTGACGAAAACTGTCTTAATGCTTCTTGTAGAGCGTGATGGGTTTGTTGAAGATGTCTGTGATTTGCGTGGACACTGAGCTTTGAAACTTTTATAGAATTCATGTCCAGTGGTAAGAGGTGTTCCTTCTACGTGGACAAAAGTTTACCTCTCAGCTCCATAACCTACTGTAGCCTAATCATATGAGTACAAGGACTGATTATGTTTGCCTTTCGTGTACGTAACCTACATATTACGAAGTAGCTGGTCAAATGGGTCTGTAATTATAAAACCCGGACATGCCTTATTTCAGTATACCGTAAACTACAGCTTATTACGAGACTGTTTGAATGCATTTTGCAATAGACGGATGGCTTAAAGTCTCAGTTGGCCGCGGCATGGCGACCACTGATTGGCCTATTGTAGCCTGCCCCGGGTGATTATGATGATGGAGAATTTTGTGGAATGAAGATTGGCAGGGGAAACCGAAGTACTCGGAGATAACCCGCCCCAGCGCCACTTTGCCCACCACAAATCCCACTTGACCAGACCCGGGATCGAAACCGAGCCGCCGCGGTGTGAAGCTGGCCGCGCCATAGCTCAAGCGGTTAGTCGCTGGCTTCCTACCGCGGCGGCCCTGGTTCGATCCCGGGTCTGATCAAGTAGGATTTGTGGTGGACAAAGAGGCGTTGGGCGGTTTTTCTCCGAATACTTCTGTTTCCCCTGCCATTCCACCAAATTCTCCATTATCATAATCACCCAGGGCAGGTACAATAGGCCAATCAGTGGCCGCTGTGCCGAGTGGACCCAGTTGGACTCCATCCCCCCCACTAAGCGAAAATTTTAAAGTCTCAGTTCTTAACATGAAAATATTTTAATTGTAATGCAGAATTTGTCATATATATTGAAAAGTTAAGAAAAAAACGCACTTTAAATTGTTTGAAGTTGCAGTGGGGATCCGTTGCGCTGACCACGCGACACCCTCTATCCACTACAGTTGACACTAACTTTGCCGACAGGAGGCGGTCGCTCGGTCGGTACAGTTCGCTTGCGGACTACAGACCACGGAGTTTATTTTGCAGTGATGATTGCGCCGTACAACGAAACGAACATCAGCTCTCTTTTAAGGAAAAATAAGCGATTCAAGTAAATGTGTGTGTGCTCATTTTCAGTCTGATTTTGAACATTTTTTGTTCTTGGTTCCAGTACTTTTCTATGAAGGAAATAATGGTCATAAACAATGATTTGAACTCGAGATAGTTAACCTTACCAATTTTCTAGGGGTGCCCCTACAGGAGGAACATTTTGTATCCTTACCTCCTCTTCTATGACCGCACGTTTGGGAGAAAGTGTATGGAACAAATGGACGAACGTTTGGCTATGTAGTATACAGGGTGTTTCACAACTTTAGGGCATAACTGANCAGGAGGTGATTCCCTACGTCTTTGTGATCAAAAAAGTTCATATAAACATGTGTCCGATTTTGGACGGTTACGGAGTTATGACCGTTTTTTCATTCCCGTGCACGCCCTTGTGTGAACCGCGTCTATCATCCGACGGGTCGCTATTTTTAGCCAGCTACAGACAGTGCGTTCTCGTTATCTCGACACTTGAGAGGTACCTAAGGCGTGGTGGGTTGGTATGTACCCGCGCGGTTCACAACCGAACGGCAACCTGTTTTGCGGCTGTCGGTGGCATTTTCTAAAATCAGCTTTAAGCACCAATAAATTCAAATTAAAGGTAATTTCACGAAGCTAATTTTACATTCATACTTTAAATGTTATCATGTATTATGCTGGTTTATTATTTTGTTCCGTTTATTGTCAGTAATAGTTACCTTCTATTCTTAGTTTAAAACGTTCATAACTCCGTAACCGTCCAAAATCGGACACATGTTTATATGAACTTTTTTGATCACAAAGACGTAGGGAATCACCTCCTGCAGTTATGCCCTAAAGTCGTGAAACATCCTGTATATGCTTTGAGTATTAATAATCTACATTTCTTATCTTGTGTGTTTTAAGATCACAAGGCGTTCTTCTGAGACATAAAATTTGGCACTGTGCTAACTTGCACAATATATTAAGCAAACACTGGATTTCAGAAAAGGAATGGCTTATCAGTTTTGCAGTTCTTGACAGGCTGACTACAATTATTTAAGTATTTAAAGAAAAGGAGACATCTCAAGTTCTTCCCAGAGCTTATTTATCACTTATTGACACATTAGAAATTTACGATTTGATCGTTCACGCCGGATTATTAGTATTTGGGTATACTGCGTTTTGAGCCCATGTTGTTTTATGGGCAGAGGGGTTTTCCGAAACGTCGGCATCTATCCACAAAACCACAGCCTTAGCAGATAAATAAATTTATTCTGCAACGTTCACTGCGTGTACTACCAATATATGCCTAGAATTTTACTATCACATTCGTCCTTCGGCCTGTTCCGGATTTAATATTCATCTTTGTCTTGATGTGCCAATGTCTGATGTTCTTGCTGATCTGTAGTATCTTGGTATCTGTTCTCATAAACGTACCCGTTCCATTCCATCGCACTGCTGCATCTAGTTCTATTGTTAACTAAAGTACTGAGTGTATCTCCAGTTCTGTATCATTTCGTGAGCTACTATTTTGTCCTGTGTTATGGGTCTTTTCGCTGAGTGAAGAAATTTAATTCCTGCTGGTTCAATTCTGTTTTTTTCTCGCTGCCTCATTTTTATAGGCTATTTGACAATTTCGGTATAGAGAATGTAGTTTCGGATGGTGGTCTAGTGGTCAGCGTTCCTGGCTACATATCCAGAGGTCCGATTCTATTCCCGGCGCTACCAGATTTTTTCTGAGAAGTAGTGGGCCTTGAACGGGGTCCACTCAGCCTCGTAGTGATAATTGAGGAGATATTTCAAGGAAATAGGGGCTTCGGTCTAGAAAACCGAAATTAATGGCCGTGGAGATTCGTTGCGCTGACCACGCGACACCCTCTATCCGCAAAAGTTGACACTAAACTTCGGCGCCAAGCGGCGGTCGCTCGGTCGGTATAGTTCACTTGCAGACTAAAATCACGGAGTTTTCTTTTTGGAAGGAAGCCTCGTAAAGGTACTATCCTAGATTTTTCCTTGAGAGACTGAGGAATATCACGAAAAATCTCAGTATATCCGGCGACAGGGCTGAGATTCGAACCGAAAATCTCTCGTAAGTCTGCAGTTTTTCGTGTAGACCAATCTATCCGGTATCTCTTCCTCCTGATCCGTATTATCTGAGCCATGAATGGTTCTGTATAATAAGTCCATAGCCGTCTTGAACACTGACTTCCATCTAGTGCAGACGTCAAGAAAGATGGCGCTATGCCTCCATCCCCCCCATGTCTCCACGGTGCAGTGCTTAATTAATTAAACGTAGGGACAATTTTACCTTCTTTTTTATATTGCACAGATGAATCCATACGATTCTGCAGTTTGAATATTGAAGGGGAGCCGATCACAGTGGTAGCGCGGTCTAGGACATGAGCCGTCTTCACCTACCCGAAGACTGAGATAGTGGGTTCGAATTCCATTCGAGGCAAGGATGTCTGTTTGCGTTTATTCTGTATTTGTGTTATCCTTTGTATAGGTAGCGGCCTTGCAACTGGCTGATCCCCTTTCCAAGGAGTCATACCGACTGTGTATACTCGTAGATTATGAAACTGAAAAATCAACCAAGGTTCAACAAGGGCTGTAGAGTCATAGATAGATAGAACGTTGAAGGGGCATTTCCTTACTCCATCTCAACAAATCGGTGAACTCTGTCCTACCTTACGAGCCCGTCATTCTGTTTTCAGCACACTTGGCTATACTGTACGAAATGCGAGAGGGACATAATATGCGACTCTGGAAAGTTGGATTCATTGAGAGGATCGGGCGATTTTGTCAACTTTAGGCATATATCGCCATTGAGACCCAAATTAAACGCCAGCTTAAATAGGGCTACAAAGATTAGGATCTTATTTATCAGGCTTAACAATAACACACAAAGACCATTGCGCAAGTTTGCATGAGACATACATAAGTGTATAACTTACAGTTTTGTTAGGTATATTACTAAAAAAGTCATTCGTAATGTTCATAATATCGTAAAGTAAACCTGTGTCTCGCACTGAGGTTGCATCAACCTCAATATATCGGTGTAATATTGTAGCGTGTAAAGCCGTTGTTGGTTAGCGACCTCGAAACAGCCAACGAAAACATTTGCTGCTAGGCAACAAATTTGAAATAAGCAAAGATAGACGGCCGCTGCTAGGGAACGGCTATGTAATCATGTTCCCGCTGCAACAGATACGCATGCAATAATAGAGGAACTGTTGGAAACGGTGTTTTCTACACGGCCCTTGCGAAGGGTTATAAATAAGACAACTGGGGCAACTACCCGTGTGGAGGCGATGTCTAATACCTCCACCGTGACCCTGCGAGTCGTAGGAGGCAACGAAAATGGAAGTCTCAAATCTGAGACAGTAAAATATGGTCACGAGTAGCAAGGGACTCGGAACCGAAAAAGACTGCGCTGGCAAGGACCAGCAGTATATACAAAAGAAAGACCCGTCCTCTCGTCAGAGAAGGCGTCCCACAAAGAAGGCCGTAACTGTAAAACAGTAATAAATATCTGGTCATGAGCCCCAGATGGCGCTTGACACCAAGACTTACTGACTAACTGACCGTCGGCCGCAATGCGACTTTGATTTTGGCCTAGTCAATTCTGTAGAAGGGACAGTTTGAAGAGCGCCACCATTCAGAGATGACTTGAGAGCGGAAGCTGAAGAATCTCCACTGTTAGAAGCCGTTGCCAGGAAACGGTTGGTGAAGACACAGCAGACTTAGCATTTGCTGCAATGATTTGAAAAATATGGAGATTAGCGACGATGCTGTAATTACTTGTATTTATGATTGTAAAGTTCTTAATATCGAGAAGTAGGCCTGTA